AGGGGTATCATACCTTCCATCGCAGAGGTCAATCCCACCAACAAAACTCACAATTCTCCTTCTGTTTGGATCCCCATTAGGCAACCCACTGTCCACCACAACAGTCTTCTGGTGATGAGTGAACATAGTCCCAACCGCTATGTCCTGAATAACGTTGGCCCCATCATCAGGATTACGAGGGCACAGCACACAGTGGACATCAGTGTTCTCAAAGTACTTGGCAGTGTCTTCATCATGAGTTGCCATGAGCCCCTCCTCCTTCAAAACGGGCACAGAAGTTTTATCATCCCAAACAAGCAAAAGAACTCTAACTCCTTCACTCGCCTTTCTCTTAAGCAATTCGCCGAGCATTACGTCTCCACCAGGCTTTGGCCTCCTTGTATCTCTCACCAAAGAAATCTCAGTGTAAACAGACCATCCAGTAATGTAAATCAAGTGTTTTGCATTAGTAATTGCATCAAAAACATCCTCCCAACACCTATGTGGCTCGTAAAACTTGCCTCCGGCAAGAGGGATTCTGGGAACAAAATTGTCGGGAACGTGGGCATCTTGGTAAAGAGTTACCTTACAGCCTCGTCTCTGAGAGAAATAAGTGTAGGGAACTCCAGGAAACTTGGGGCTTTTGATGCCACGGCCCCAATTTCGATCCTTTGTGACATCGAAATACTGTAATTTGACGTGAATTTTGGGGTCCCCGCGAATGGGGTTCTTGCTTTCGTCGAGGATTGGAACCCATGTGTCGACTTCTTGGCCGCTTACGATTTCTTGGACGGACAAATATGCTCTGCCGATTAAGGTTGCTCCGATGGGATTGTCGTCCTTGACAGTGAAGATGATGTTGGAAGCCGTGTGAGCGCAGTAGATATGGAAAGTCTCGTACCATTTTGGGTTTGAATGTTCTTTCTGAAGAATTCTTGTTCTTCCAACTCTGGCCTTCTCTAGATCAATGGTTGCATAGAGCTTTGTTAATCCTCTGCCAAAACCAATTGCTTCTTCTACGTTTTCCCTCAACTGCACGTCAAAATTCCAGGATAAATTACAAATTTAAGTCTCTGTTAACATTTCACTTTTAGTTTTCAACTTTTTAAATTACGTTTATTTTAGCAATTTTTTTTTAATGTTTTTCACTTTTTTTTTTTAAAGTATAAATTGGACATTGATTTCATATTCATCGAACTCAAAATCTTTTGGTCGGTTGAAAATATATATCAATTATCATTAAGTTATACTCGATTTGACTATAACAAAAATATTAATAAATTAATTAATAGTTTTTAAGATTGAACTAAATATTTTGTTGGTAACTTCAATTGGTTTATAACTATATTACTAAGGGGCAACTTGAGATATGACAAAAAAAGTTAGGAAAATAAACAAAATAACAATAAGATTTAAGTTTTTCAAATATAGCATTTTTTTTGCAAAAAAACGAAGGCCCACGTTCTAAATTACAAGTATACCCTGTAGGCCATACTTTTGATTGACTTCTGATATACTAATGATTGACAGATATACTCCTGATATATATGTGATATATGTTTGATATATATAAGGTATGAAATTGATTTACTTCTGATATAACTATGATATCTACTACTATAGGTGACATAGAATTGATTGACTTCTGATATATAATTGATTTACTTATGATATAACTATGATTGACAGATATACTCCTGATATATATGTGATATATGTTTCATATATATCCGATATGAATTTGATTTATTTCTGATATAACTATGATATATATTACTATAGGTAATATATAACTGAATGACTTTTGATATACTATTGATTTACTTATGATATAACTATGATTGACAGATATACTCCTGATATAATATGTGATATATGTTTGATATACATATGATATGAAATTGATTTACTTCTGATATAACTATGATATATGTCTGATATACATATGATATGAAATTGATTTATTTCTGATATAATTATGAAATCTACCAATTATTTCGAACATATTACCTCTAACATATGTTTTTTGATATACTACTAATATATGAAATAATTTTTTTTCCAGATAAAAGCAATGGTACAAACACGAAAAATAAAATAAAAAAATATCGTAAAAAATGTTGATGTCGTTCATCCCAAAAGACAACATAAACAAACGCCAAAAGTTTTGTCTATGAAAAAACGGAAAGCTTCAAAGATATTATCTCCAAAGACACGACAATCACCAAGAACGAAGATTGATGTCCCAAGCTTTTACCTAAAGATTATACAAGAATGAAACTTACGCTTTTCTAGACTGTTGGAATTATGCTTCTTCTTTTATAGAATTTTAAGAATGACATTGTTGGTCTACTTTTGGTTTATGCTACTGATTCGTTTTGATGTTTAAACTTTTAAGTTTTTGGTTGAAGGACTTTGCTGGTGATTTGATGTTGATGTTGATACCCAAGAATGATATTTTAAACCTTTTAAGAATGACATTGTTACTGATTTCATTTTGATCTTTAAAACTTTAAATAAAACTTAATTGTACTATTGATATATGTACGATGTATACTTGATATGTCACTGATATATTATTGATATATAGAAAAACCCTAAGTTTCTATTTACCTCTAATTTCTAATTGATTTCTCATTCACAGTAATTTCGAAAATCACCATTGACGTTCACATTCACGTTCCTTTCAAGTTTTCTTTCTCATTTTCAGTAAGTATCAAATTTTTTTCTCATTTTCCATGCATGTCAATACCTACTAATTTCTAATTGATCAAAAAAATACAAGACAAAAGGTTAAAGCAGGTAAAATAGTGATTTACTATTATATAACTGATATAGAACTGATTGACTTTTGATATACTATTGATTTACTTCTGATATACTAATGTTGTCAGATATACTCCTGATATATAATAACGAAGCGATAACTGAAAAGGGTAATTTGGGAATACTGAAAATTTTAAAATCAGGATTTTGAAAAAAATATTATATCTGAAAATATCATGCTATTTTGTTAAATATAGAAAACTTAGCTACCCATTACAAATCCCCTATTACTAAATATAGTCCAACAAATTTTTAAATTGAGATTCAATTTTGAAATTGCAACCATATGAAAACCTTAAAAATAACAAATTCAACCTCGTTTTTTCATTGAATTCTTTATTTACAAATTTTTATTTTCAGATCATCGACCTCATTTTTAAATCAAATTTCAAAACAAAACTATTTTTCTCTAATGTTTAAAATAAAATATGTTTTTAAAAAAGAAGATAACGAAATAAAGAAATAAACGGAGAAAGTAATATTTACAAATTTAATTTTAAAAAACATAAAATTAAAACCAAACAAAATAATGATCAAATTGGTTACCTTGGTGAAGATATTATGACTGGAATGCAGCTTATCCACTTCATAAATGGTGACATGAAGGGTTCCATGGAGTAGAATATGAGCCATCTCTCAACTGCAACGACACATTAATTAAGCTAAATAAATTAACATCAAGTCTAGCCATACATGTAAATGATTTGAGAAGAATTATACATAAATAGTAAAATAATATTTCTATTTTTTTGCTCCTTTTAATTTTGAAACTGCTTTATTCTAACACCCATTTTACAACTTTTCTCATTTATTGGTATTGTTTCTCATTTCCCGTTTTTAAAAAATGTAGTCAGTGGGTAACTATTCATGTTTCTCACTTTTCACTTTTAATAAATCTTTTTAAAATTGTGTAAAATTTTTGAAAACAACGAAATTAAATTTTTTATTCCTATTTCATATTTTCAAATTTTTAAAAAATATAAATAAAAGTATTATTTTTTTTCTTTTTTTTTTTTTACCTATAAAAGGCATAATGAATATAACATAAAATTTTAATTTTCACATAAAACTTTTTATTTTTATAATTTAACATTTTAGAGGATCAAATAAAAAAAAAATGTTAACAAAGGTGTTGTAACAAGAAATAAATAAAAACAATAAACAATTAAGATACATAATTCTAATTTTTTTTAATTAAAAAGAGAAACAAGACATAAGAAAAAACGTTAGCAAATGTGCCTAATATTTTGATTCGATTTTCTGAATTTAAAGAAGTTGATGAAATTTATATGTAAAAATATGCATTTTTTAAATATTAGAACATCCTGTGGAAAGTTGAAACTAACAAACTACAGCATAACATTGTATGGGAAAACGACAACGGAATACTGTTAAAACGATGTTTTTAATAATATCCTTTTTTTTCTTTATTATTATTATTATTTTGAAAAGGGACGGAATAACTATAATTAGCCTTCACTTTCTAAGGCAATACATCCAATTTTTTTTTTTCTTTTGACATGAAGAAAACTAAAAGTTTGTCTTCGGTTAAAAACAAGAGCGTATAAAATTTTATACTAATTTGTGTTTCTTCAACTTTTAAAATAGAAAATTATATGTTAAAAATAATATATATATAAAAAAAAGTTTTGTGTCCCCTCCTAAAAATCTCTAGTCCCACTCTTTGATAGGTATATATCATAAGTTACATTATAAGTTTAATGTATACGTTGAGCAGTATATACTTTTAATTATAAATTTAAAAAGGTATGATTAAGTTTTTCTAACTCTAGAAAATGTTTCTACTTAATTAATATCATTAACAAAGACACTATTTTTTTTTTTTTTTGAAACAAAGACACTAACCTAACATGCCTTTTAGGTGTACTGTCAAAAAAAAAACATTTTAGTCTGTTACCACTTCACACCAATCCACACAAAATAATTTGATATTTAGAAAAAATAATAATAATTTGGCATACAACTATTTACCTAAATAATACGAAAATAAATATGTATCTTCAAATATGGTAACAAATTTAAAAGTTTACAAAATCAAAATCAAACTCAAATTCAAATTGAAATAATATATTACACATTACAAAAAGTCACGCTTATTTTTCAAAAAGAAAAAAAAAGTCATACTTATGTACTCTATATTTAAAAAAGAAAACAAAAAGTTGTGATGTTTTTTTTACAATGTGTTGTGTAGTAAAACTTGTCTTGATTGTATCATCAAAAAATATATATAATAATTAGGTCCAAGAGTATAATTTAAGCCAAAGTAATTTGTCATGGTTATTAAATGTCATATTTATGAAGAAAAAATATAAACGAAAGTTGGTTTTGTAGTACTACTTCTAAAAATATTATTTTAAGATAATTATAAAAAATTGAAAACACTGAATAATATTCCAGAGTATGCGTGACCAATTAATAAAAATTTAAGGTTAAAAAATACTTTTAATCTATGTACTTCTATTTAAATAATAATTTAGTTTTTCAATTTTAATTTGTAACGCACCTGTCCTTTCAAATTAAATAACAATTTAATCTTCAAACAAAATATATAATAATTTAATTCTTGTAATTTAAAATTTGTAACAATTTAATCTATATTGTGAAATAGTTTCTTATATATTAGAGTGCTAAACAATATTAGATTATTATACGATAAAACTTGAGACTTAAATTTAATAAGATTTTCTAGATAGGACTACTAAAATAAAATAATAATAATAAATAAATAAAGAGGTTAACACGTGGGACGGCCTGGAATACAGAAAAAATATCCAAAATAGCTACGTACGGATTCCGCGCTCTCGACGGCTCTCCGACTAACGGAGGTCGGATTCGCAGGACGTCTCGCCGACACTAGATCTCACGGCGACTAATCGCCGAGGAGATCGGTGGCATTAGGCTCCTCCGACGGGGATGGCGTCGGAGCTCCGGCGATTAGAAAGATTCTGTAGACTAGACCAGAACGATCCCCATCGACTAATGATTTTAAGATATAGTCGAAGACGATTCAAGAAGTAAACGCGATCCAATAGTTGAGCGAACGCATAGAGAACAGAAATCGAGTTAAAATAAGTTAATAGAAGAGCAGAAGAAGAAACTAAATACCTTTCAAATCGGATTTTGCAGATTCGTTTTCTTGAGCTTGAGCAGGGGAAGAAGAAGAAGAAGAGCAGAGAGAAGAAGGAAGAAAATGGGGAAATTTGAAAGGATTCCTCTTTTGGATGACAATAATTATATCCACTCTCTACAAAAGGGGCAAATGAGGTAATTGCAATTTCTCTTTCCAACATTTGCAAAAGATAACATTGGCTAAATTATTATTCATTCACTAAAGGTTTTATTTTATTTTATTTTTATGGTTTTTTGAGGTTTTTTTTACCCATCATTTTGGTTCATAACAAAAAATATTTGGTAACAAGGAAGTTATCCTTACTTTCCTACATTTAACTTTAAGGAGTTAATTATCATATCAGTTCAAGTATAACTTTATTATCTATCTCAAAATTTGATCATTCAATATCCACCTCTATAATTGTTGAAATAAAAAAAAAAATCAGTAAATCGTCGTTTAGTCTCTACAAGAGCCAACATGAGCTATTAATGTATCTAACTTTCTTCTGTCAAAGTTAGAAGTTCGATCCCCCATATCTACCATTGTTACTTACCCAAGAAATTTAAGTAAATGCTCAATTAATTGGTAGATTGAAATTTTCCACACAATTGTTAAAGCTTTGACTAAATTGAGGAAAATAGTTGAAGGTGCTTGGAAGTAAATTTTTACCTCTTTCTTCTCTCTTCTTTAGAATCTTTTGCTAACTATGGTTTTAAAATTTCACGAAAGCATTCACATTTACCATTTCAAAGTGTTAGCAAAACAAAAATAATAATAATAATAATAATAAAATAAAAAAATATCAACCAAATATTACTAATATGGACATAAATTAATATACTAATCTTCTTTTTGACAAAAATATAATAATTTTTAATTTATTTAAAAAGTACGAAATACTTATATGTTAATATATTTTTTTTATAACTTTTGTATTTTTATAATTTTTCTAGAAATATCTATTGATGTCAAAATTTCATCGACACATGAGACTTTCATTTCGATAAAATTGAGCCATTAATATTTCTATCATATTTAAAACTTGGTTGCTGAGCTAAAAAGCTTTTTGCCGCAATACACATGGGAGCCATAATGTCTAATATTTACAACTAAATAAATTTGAATGTTAATTATAAGTTCGGTGATTACAGTTTGGAAGTTTACTTTATTTTATTAAGGAGGGAATTAGAATAGAAAAATGCAAAAAGCTGTTTACTTTAGAAAAAAAATATATGCCTTTCCTTCTTGTCAAAATAATTAAATAATAGCAGGAAAAAAAAGGCATAAACATTGATCTTTTAGAATTGGCCAAATGCTAAGGCTCGACTGAGGGAGTAGGGTCCAACCAAATAGAGCCTCAAATAAACTCCCACTAAATTTTAATGACTCCTTTGACTTTTAAGATTAATGATATTTAATGTGACTTTTTAAGTTATTTTAGTACAACATGTAGGGGTGGGGGATCGAACTCACAACCTCTTGGTTGGAGGCATATGTCAATTACCGTTGAACTATGTTTGCTTTGACGTATGGAGTTTTTACACACAATTCTTTTTTTTCTAATTTACTATACATAGGAATATAAGTCAAAGCTCAAGGTACTAAATTTTCGTCGATATTTTTATATGTTCATAAATTCGACATCGATATGAAAAGTGAAACGATATTTTCATTATATATATACATATATATACATATATACATATACACATATACACATATACATATATACACATATACACATATACATACATACATACATATATATATATATATTTTGATCCCACGAGTTGCATTTCTTAAATATAGGAGTAGACTAGTCTAATCGCCCCGTTGAAAACAATATTTTAAGAATAATCTAGATTATTTTTTTAAGTTATATATTAAAAGGTAGCAACTTTGTATTCCAACCTCCACATATTGATTTACTTAAAAAAATTATTTCTTTTAGTCTGAGAATTGGATGGCCTGCCTATGAAAATAATATTTTTAGAAGTATTTCTCATTAAGTACAATTTTCGTTACCACACTATCATTAATGTAAACTGAAAAGTTCAGTTTTAGAACCATTGATGATATGAATATAAACACCAATAATGTATAGGAGATGCCAACATTTCACGTGAAAAAGAAATTCTAAAATATACAATTAAATACAATATTTCATGCCAATATGAATTTAATTCAGTCGTAACTGACACGTACTCATTTCTTTTAAAGTTCAAACAATTATACCTCTAGTTTGTTGTACTAAAGAAATATAATATTTTCATTTCCAAGAAAGACAATATATTGATATGAAGTTGTTTGGATAGAGTAAAAAAAAAACTATACGGTTGTGAGTTGAAAATAGATCTACAGTTGAAAAACACAAAGAAAACAGATTTTCTTAGTATAACTAATAAATTTTTATCATTTTTGTGATATTAATGAAATTGGCACTTTTTGAGAAGATGAAATAATGGCTAAATAAATTTCTTGATTATTTTGAGTGGGACTCACGATCTCTTTAATTTGAGATATGTACCGATTACGGCTGAGTGTTTTCTTTTATCACTTGACATGATATTTCATATTTAGTATAAATTTAAAAAAGAATCATTACACCTAAAATAAGAAAAGGGTGGATCTATTTTCATATCAATATTTAATTATGTTATCTCACCTGCCACGATTGGTGGGTCACCACAAACGTGGCACGAAGGTTGAGGATGCCGACAGAAGCGTGGAGAATCCAACGGTCATAATGAGTCCAACAAAACAAAAGTTGAAAACCCCATCATCATCATCTTGTCGAATTGTATGATAGGGATGGCCTACCATACGTTTAATATTCAACTTTTTCTATCCAATCACGCTGAGACAAATGTCGATGCGTTTAACTTTTATGTATATATAAATAAATTATCTTATGGAAATTTAATATCTTGCTCCATGATCAAAACTCTTAAGTCTATTTTTAAAATGTTAAATATATTTAATCATTGCTAATTCTACCTGTAAGTGTTTAATTTTTTAGGATTGGAAATTTTCAATTGAATTATTATGAATAAAACCTATTAAAACTTGTGAGTCGAAGGCTAATGTATTTAAATTATTGTTAACCTATTCTAACACATGAATGTGAAACATGAAATAAATAGATTTTTTTAATTGCCCATTTATATTTTGTTGATAGATATGTGTCAAGTAGAATCTAAATAGTAATGTTTGTGTGTCCAAATAAGTTTATATATATAATTTTTTTAGTACTTGTATAAATAGATTTATAAAACAATAAATTAATGATATATCAATTTTTAAAACAAAGTTTTAGCATTTTCAATCTCTTTCATGTTGAGAGATGTAACTGAGAATTCATAACATAAAAGGGCAAAATTGTATTTCAAATATTAAGAACTAAATTAAAAAACCAATTAAAAACTATTTGATAGAATTAGCATTTATTTAATTTATATAGTGTGTGTGTGTATATATTTTTAATGAAAGAGAGAGATGGACATCAAAAAGGCACTCAGAAAGATTGTTTGATTGTTTGATTGTTTGGGCCTATTGAGGCCTTTACAGCCCAATATCAGTTATTTCTCTAGGCCCAAAAATCCTTGGGCAGAATTTAGGAGGAGATAACTACAAATATACATAATATTAAATATAACATAAATGTAATTAATAAAAAGGTAAGTCTAAATATGAAAAAAATAATTATTTCAACTGATATTTAAATCAATCGTCAATCAATAATGTTAATCAACACACATCAATATATAATTTCACTGATACTTAAACCAACATTTATCTTAATCATTGTAAATCAATGATAATGTAATTACTATATGATCCATATGATCCAAAGTTAAAGGATGAATAATAAATTTTAGGAACGTTTCCAATTATTTTTTTAGAAAACTAAAAACTTATGAATATTTTAATTAAAATATTGAGTTATAATCGAACTATATCTTATTCTTCCTTTTTTTTTGGAGTTTTGATCGAGGATATATCTCTTAACCAGTTAAATTTTAATGTTGCTTAATTATATCTTTGTTTCATTTACAAAGTATATAAAATTGTTTATTTAACCAATAAGTTATCAAGTGGAGAAAATAAAATAAAAAAAAAATAGAAAGAAGAAGGAAGAAAGTTAATTTTGAATAGTGTGTTTAAAGAGGACTAAAAAATGGCATAGAGAGTTGTTGTAAGACATAAATGGGAGTTAAAATCCACATCCAAACAATACAATACAAATAGTTAGGTCAGTACTATAAAATAAAACACCCACTTTCCATTTTCTGATCCACTGAAGAAAAAAAAAAGAAAAAAAGAAAAAAAAAACCTAAGTTTTCAAACATCACAACTTTCTAAAACTCAATGTTTGGGTTGGCTATATTTAGAGAGTGCATGCACGAGAAAATGAAAGAGAAAACTAAGTTCTGCACAAACACTTGAGTTTTCTTTCTTTTTTATTGATTTGGTGGATGGCCCTTTATTTAGCATAGTAGGTGTTAAAGTCTTTGACTTTGATTGTGTCGGTTTAGTTCTTGAGTTTTAAAACGTTTCGTGTTGATAACATTGATACTTAATTTTTGGATGCGACGTGACAATTGGACTAATGAGTGTTGATTTGATATAACGTGACACAGGGAATTGATCAACGTGTTAAAATAGGGTAGAGATTTGAACCCACGACCTTTTGGTCAAAGATAGGTGTTTTAATTATTTGAACTATGCTCAAATTGGCATGCTATGTCAATATTTAATTAAGTGATAACTTAATAGAATTATAAATAAAAGATAACTGGAATTTTTTATAGTTTCATGAAAGTTTTTTAGCTAAAATTTGTGATTTAAACTTTATAGTATCATTTTCTTTACTTTACACTATTTTAAGCATTCTTTTTTAAAAAATTTATTTAAAAAGGCCTTTATATCGTTTTGGCAAATTATATTTATACCTGCGTATCGTTACAATCTGTTTCATACAGTTTTCACAATCCAAATTTGTTTATGAAAGAGACGGATCTCGTTGAATTAACATAAACCCAAAGTTGCTAACATGAGCTTAGTTAAAAATTAAGAGAAAAGTTCAACTTTTTACCTCTAAATTCATGTAGTGATACGTCTATAAAAGACACAATATCAAACATATATAAAAGGCACTCAACAAAATATCAAACCCAACCCATTAAAAACATTAAACACAATAAAAAAAATCCAACCTGTCAGCTAAGACATCTATGTCCGACCAGAAGGTCGTGAGTTCAAATCTCCTCCTATACTTATAAAACACAATTAAGAAATCAATATCTCAAAAGATAGTCTCATCCAACTATATTGGATGCATGATGCCCATAGCCCACCATAAATCTTCAAAAAATAAAATATAAATTGATTAATTAAAAGTATTAATCATACCACTTATATTAAGCGCTCTGCTCATGAATCTCTTTTTGTTGTCAAAATATTTTACGTTTTTTTAGTACAATAAAGAAATGAAATGTTAATTTTACAACATCTTAATTGGAGATATATACCAATTATTAAGCTATCCTCGTTTAGACAAAATATTGTACCTTGTACCTACTATATAATGTATACACAATCAAAATTAAAAAGCACAACCCCCATTTTCTCACTCTCTCAATTAGCTAGGGAAGGCTCTCTCTGAGATTGATAGTTTGTGAAATTATATGGCGAAGCAAAAGAAGTTCAGAGGAGTGAGGCAACGCCGGTGGGGCTCATGGGTCTCTGAGATTCGCCACCCTTTTTTGTATGTTTTTCCTCTCATCATCTCATCTTCTCTTTTATCTCTCTCACTAACCCTAAACAGTTTTCTTCTTCCTCTATTTTCAGAAAGAGGAGGGTCTGGCTAGGGACGTTTGAGACTGCCGAAGACGCGGCCAGAGCCTACGACGAGGCTGCCGTTCTGATGAGCGGTCGAACTGCCAAGACCAACTTTCCGTTGGCCGTGGCAGCCACCGACATTGTTAGAGGTAGAGCTAGAAATTTTCATAACAACGTATATACATATATATATGTATTCTTTCCATTTTATGTACTAAAAAAATAATTGTCCTCTCCTTTCTTCTTAGCTCCAACTGTAGACACTACTATCTCAAGTGCAGTTTTGCCGCCGTTATCATCAATTCTCAACGCCAAACTTCGAAAGTTTTGCGAATCTTCGCCGCCTTCCCTAACTTGCCTCCGTCTCGACACCGCGAGTTGCCGCATCGGCGTCTGGCAGAGGCATGCGGGACGTCGTCGAGTGGCCAAATCTAACTGGGTTATGATGGTTGAGCTTGAGAAGAAGAAGAACGACGACGGATTACGAGTGACGATGGAGTCGTCAGATAAGGCCGGTGTGGAGGAGTTGAAATTATCAGGTGCCAGAGAGAGTTCAGATGATGAAGAAAGAGCTACTCTACAGATGATTGAAGAACTTCTGAATAAGATATGATAAGAGATCTCTTTCAATAATTTCTATAGCTAAACTAAAACTTGCATGTGCTTTTGTATTGTTCTGAATTATGATCAAATAGCTTAGTTCCATGTATACATGTGATAAATATTTAAAATAAATGCATGAAAGTTATTTTATTAAACAGATAAATTTTCATGCTTAAACAAAAGATCTCAATGACGCGCTTTTTCGAAGAATCCTGCACCCATGGGAATGATACCACAAAACTCCATGCTCTTGTCACTGCACCATAATATTTTAATGTTTGTAAAGTTACTTAAGGCTACTAATTTCAATGATCTTTTTATTGTTTACTTTCAATTTGAAATTCTTATTCATGAACAAAGAGCATATTCTTAGTTGGAAAAGAAATATATATAAATAGTACTTGAAAATGAAATGATACTATAAAAAACCAGTGTCACATATTTATTCATATGCACAAAAATTGAATGCAGTGTGAAAAGTTGGTTATACATGTAGCACAAAAATGTGTCACAAAATCTAGAATTTCCATTAATGTTGAGGAATTTTCAATGAATGCTAGAAATCTCAGATGGGCATTCAAGATAATTCTTGTTTATGTTGTATGTAAATAAAAGAAGCCATGTGCTAAGGTATTACATTAATTATTCTCATATATTATCACATGCATTGGAGAGTAACAATTTGTAAAAAAAAAAAAATGGAATGACAATTTTGATTTTGTACATTTCATAATTGAGGTGAGCTAGGTGTGGTATATTATTTTCATAATGATTTTGCTTTCTTTTTCCTTTTGAAATCCAGCTTAATTAATTAAGGTCGTTTGATAACCATTTTTGTTTTTGGTTTATCTTTGTGTTTAGTTTTTAGTTTTTGGTTTTGCCTTTAAAAAACAAAAACTATATATATTTGATAACAATTTTTTGTTTTTTGTTTTTAAAAATATAAAGCCAAACATGTTTTGTATCAATTTTTAGTTTTCTGTTTTAAAAAGTTAGAAAATTGAAAATGTATTTTGAGAGAGGAAATTCTATGTAGAGTAGAGATAACAATGATGTTGGTGCAAGTGAGAATGCTTCCCCAATTCTCGTGATCCGCGTCTCCACCGTTTTTCGGTCCAAAAGATATTCTCGAGAAAAATTATCGGTTTTATAATTGTTTTTAATTATTTTTAGAATTTAAGTATAAAAAAAGTGTAATAAATATATATTAATTATTTAAAAAATGGAATCGGGGACGAGGTCGAGACATGATTTGCTATTTTTGAGGCTCAACCCTACGGAAATTTTTGCATCCCCTAGTGTAGAGACATGAAAATGTGAGATGTAAATAAACTTTTGGAACATAAATTTTAGAAAGATAAATAAAAAGATTTAGAAAAGAAAATAGTGAAAGAAAGTTGAAGAAAAAAAGAGAATTTTTAGAGAAAAAATCAATAAAGTCAGAGAGAAAAAGATATGTTAAAGAAAAAAAGAAATTACAAAGAAAGAGAAAAATTATAGTGGAAACCAAAGATAAAAACAATATTCAAAATATAATTTTTAGACAAAATAAATAAATACAGAGATAAATAAAAGTTATAGTAAAAGAAAATTGAACGAGAAAATAAGATATAATTTTCAGAGGAAAAAATAGATTATGAAAAAAAAAGATAAGTTATAAAAGACGAAATTTTAGAGAGAGAAACGCTAGGAAAAATATTAAATTTTTAGAGACAAAAATGAAACTGATCTATTTGAAAAAAAAATAAAAAATAAAAAAACATAAAAATTTAGAGAGAGACAAATAATAATAAATATTCAAAATATGAAAATTTTAGAGAGAGAAAAATGAATTTTGTTGGAAGACATTAAAAAAAAAGTGGAGTATTAAAAAAAATAGATTTTGAAAAATAGAAATGTGTTTTTAAAAAATATATATATATATTTGAAATTTACAATTGATTTTTCAAAAACAAAAAACAGAAAATTGAATTCATTATAAACAACCATCTTCCTAAAAAAAAATAAAAACCAAAAACTAAAAATAAAAAACGAAATAGTTATCGGTCCTTATTTTTAGCTTTTTAAAAGTAACTTTTGAAATGAAAAAAAAAATTAAGATTTTAAAATATTAATTATAAAACAAATAAAGCAGTTAGAAAACATTAAAAAGTTTTTAAAAGTTTAAAAATGGTTTATGAAACGATACTTAATAATCAAAGAATTCTTGGAGCACATTGTATTTCTTATGTTAATGCGTTGATTAAAATCTAAGAAAAATAAGATTAAAAAAACATAATGTATAAATGAGTGTTTCACATTTTCTACCATCGGTAGAGACTTTTTTTCTAAAGGATGGAAGGTAAACATGAATATAGTTCCATGATTAAAATATTTTCATCTTTTTTGTGTTAGGTTAATTTGATACCTCATATATTTATTATATAATGGGAGGTAAGTGTCTACTTAGTCCCTAAAGTTTTGAAATGAACATTTGTAGTCCATGAGGTTTAAGATAAGTGTCTAATTGGTCTCTGAAGTTTCAGAATGTACACTTTTGGTCCTTGAGGTTTAAATTAGGTGTCAACTTGGTCCTGACGTTTTAAAATAAACACTTTTGGTCCCTAAAAAATAGTTTTAAATGGTCTCTAATTTTTTTACTGCTATTAACTAATATTAAAATAACGTAGCAAATTGCAATTAAATTGTTTATTGTAGTTGGTGATGTGGCAAATTATATTAATTAAATAATATATGTCCGGTATGAATGGCGGACGGCGGCGGCACAAACGTGGTGGTCGCCGGAAAAGGATAGGAGAAAGAGAGGAAGAGATGAGGAGAGGAGAGAGAAACTACCATCACCTACACATATATTATTTAATTAATATAATTTACTATGTCAGCAATTACAATAAATAATTTAATTGCAATTTGCCACGTCATTTTAATATTAGTTAATTAACAGTAAAAAAAATCAGGGACTTGTTCATTTTGAAACTTGAGGGACCAAGTTAGACACCTAGTTTCAGGTACGGAAGTAGACACCTAYCTCAAACCTGAGGGACCAAAAATAYGTATTTTGTCCTTATATAATATTTTAAAAGAAAAACAAGGATTGAAAAAGGTTGTTGGCCAAATTATCCGGATCCAAACTTTACAATCTTCATAAAGGYTGTAGAGTTGCCTTTAAACTCCTTAAAAAAGGTATAAATACTGAACCTTCCGAGGCTCAGCTTGTAACTTTCTGGGAGCAAATTAATTTGACAAAACAAAAGGACCAGTACTGCATCATTTGTAAACCAAAATATGAAGTGGGGTTAGTAGGGGTAAACATCSATCGACCATATCGGGATTTGTGCCAAAATCGATACTGTAAGCTAACTATTTGATTTCGATCGGTTTGAAATTAAAAATATTTTAAGTTTTGTATCAACCGATAGGACGATTGGTTGATTGTAGTCGATTTTTGGTAAATGTTAGAGGAATAAATTGTGATTTTTTTGAATTTATTTGTTCACCCTTGGGACTTTTTTACTTTTAGTAAAGAAAGTGCTCCAATGACTCTTGGAGAAGTGTCATGTTGAAGAAAGAACCTTTCATTTTTATATATGRTGACAAAAATATTCAAAGAGAATTCATCATTTCAGACSATCTCCTCTGCCACTCTTTAACACACCCACGAATGATATGAATATAAATGTGAGTTAGCTCAAAGATTGATGATAACATATCTTTAGAAAACATAATTATTGACCCTTCTAGGAGGAAGATGCTGATAACATCTTTGATATTATTCCTCTTCGAGGTACGAATGCATTTACAAACTCTTGGCTTTATAGATACAAAGAATTGTCAAGAATCTCGTTTTGAAAAGATAAAGAACCTAATAAAGATTCACAATATAAATTGGGTATCATTGTTGATTGGTTTGASATGGAATCCCACGGATATTAATATGATATTAGAACCTTAAAAACTCACACGAGCATTTGGTCCAAAAATGCCCGGCCACCATCTTGAGAGTTTATAATATATAAGTGGACAACTCAAAGTTTTCAATAAGATTAAAACCTTAATTTGACATGCTTTTCATAACTCTCCAAAACCTTAGGATGAAATGTATCTAAACCTCAATACAACTCATGAACTTAAAAGTTGCATAGGCATCAAAGGTGTTTGGAGCTTTCTTTTTTCTTAAAGGATATAAGGGAGTTAATTGTGTCYATTGAAACAATATTTTTTTTATTCTTCTGATAGCTCAACGATAGTTACTTCTACTATTATCAATTTCTGAGCGTAACTTAACTGATTAAGATACTTACTTCTAATGTTGGTCGTGAATTTGAATCTCCACCTCTGTATATGTTGTATTAAAATAAAATTTTTCTTAGACTATTTAGTTGGAACGTAACTATACCCTCTCAAATAGCGATACACATTAAAGCACATATGCATAGGTTGATTTTATCGGTTTGTGCACAAAGGTTGATTTTATCGGTTTGTGCTGCTTAAAAAAATTAGTAAAGTTCATATTAACCTAACAAAAAAAAAATCAGTTATCATGTTATTTCTACAATTTGATTGTTGGTCAAGCAACACCTAAACACTTATATTTGCGCTAACTACCAACTAAAAATTTAACATCTTTTTAATTTTTCAAAAAATAGGAAAAAAACATTTTCTTTCCTTCGTCAAAAATTTAATGGAGGTCAGAAAAAAAAATGATGCTGATCTCTAATTATTTTTCTCTTTTTAGTACAATAAATTATAGATRTAGAGATGTGAATCTTTACCTCAAAAAAAAAAAGTATAGGTACCAATTACCGCTAAACTATACGATAATTATTTTTCTTGTTGGCCCCACAGAAAAAATGATTCGACCGCGAAAAATCAGCTCATAGTGATACTATTGATTAATGTCCTTTGCCTTAATGGTTAAGGCTTTTTGTATTATATTTGACCAATCTTGTTCACCTTGTGGTCCATAAATTTCCAAAATCTCTCTTTGAAAAAACCCTTACRAACGTTCTGTCTTTTCCCCTATATAATTTTTTACACTAATATTATGTATATAAATACATATTTCTTGTTGTGAAATTTTTGTAATTTCCTCATTAAATATTTATACATCAATATCACCAAAAATTAATTAAAATATATATATAAAGAAACTAAATATTAATATTAAAAAGAGTAATAAAGTGGGCATAGTTCAAGTTAAGWGATTCTGGGCTCAATATCAAAAGAGATACTTATTTTTTWTATTTAAAAAAATTTTTATATTAAATTTTCACGATTTTTTTCTTTTCTTTTTTCACAGCTCCCAGAGAGAGGTGTCCGTGTGATTCACGTGGCGTTTTCAATTATCGTCCACCTTAATATTTAATGGCAGTCCGATTATTTCCTCCTCGCGCTCAGCCATGGAAGCCTRCAAGATATCAGCCATTTCCCTCTATTTCCTCTTCGCCCTCTTCACCTTCTCAGAATGTTCTACATCCATCGTTCATCAGCTTCAGCCTCATCCTCTGGAATCCTTCAAAATCAACAATACCCAGGTCAGTAAAAGGGCTTTCTCGTTTTCCCAKAAAATTTTGAAAAAAAGGACCGTCAATGTCATGGCTGTGTTAAATCGCTCAAATTACAACCACCCATTGCTCTGTTTCAATGGATGGATTTCATTGTATGGTTTKATTTTCGGCTCTTGTGAGGAAAAATATAAATGGGTGTTCAAGCAATCGGAGTAATTTGGTCTAAATTTTTCTGACTCCCAAAATCCTTTTGCTGATTATTGTTCTTGTTGTTACAGAATGCTGGGAGCTGTTCGTTCACAGTCACAATAAAAACAAGCTGCTCATCGCCTGTCTACACACGAGACAGGATCAGTATTTCGTTTGGGGATGCATATGGCAATCAGGTACTTTCTGATTTTGAACAAAATTTCAATCCCCAATATAATTTTTTTTTTACAGTTCCATGTTGTTTATGTGCTTGAAGTATGAGTTCTGGAAATCAGGGGATTGTTAGATAAACAGTGAGCTAATTTCAACTCAAATTTTCAAKTGCATCGGGTTGAGATGTTGAAATTGCTCAAACCTGGCTAACCAAGACTTTGATTGATAACCATTTCATTTTTGGTCTTTTGTTTTCTCGAATTTAAGCGTATGAACACTACTTTGAACTATTTTTATTTTGTATTTTTAAAGATWTGCAGTTAGTTGTAGTTGGTGATGATCCTGTTTTTGAAGGTATTGCGTTGGGGCTTTCTTGCTACATTTAAAAAGTTTTGGTATTGACTTTGGACACTTTTATTTTGAAGGAACAGAGACAACAAATCTTTTGTTTTCAAATTTTGTATGTAGGTTCTAAGAAGTCCCTGAAAAATGAAAAGCAAGAAACGGTGAACGTTACCTCAGAAATGAGAAATAAGAACGTTACGAAACTGCCATTAGAATTCTCCCATTTTGATACTTGTGTGTTTCTAGATATAGCATGTGGTGTGGTTGTTGTAGACTTGGATTCTTCAAAAGTTGACTTATTTCCTGGTTAAGTTTTTCTTTCCTATCTCCATTATTCTCCAAATGCAACACATTCCCAAGACAACCTTACTTTCATATATTCTTGCTTAGAATTAACAATCACTTAAAGAAGTGGCTTCTCATTTCCCATTATTCTTTCTCAAAACAAACAATCCATCACCCTTGTTTCAGCTTTACTCATCTCTCCTACACACAAACCTCTCTCTATCATTTTTCTCCATTGATTTGTATATCGATTATCGTGTGGATGATTAGGTATACCTACCAAGGATCGATGATCCGTCTTCAAGGGCATTCGAGCGTTGCTCTACGGACAGGTTTGACATAAAGGGACCATGCACATACCAGATATGCTACGTATACCTCTACAGGAGCGGATACGATGGATGGACAGTGGATAAAGTAACCATCTCGGGTTATAATACGAGAACAGTTACGTTTAACTACAACTCAAGGATCCCTAATGATATTTGGTTCGGGTTTAACGTATGCTCTCCGTATCAAGCTGTGGAATCCACTGCAGCAGTGTAGAAAGGATTGAGGTGCAAATTTTCAAACTTTTATGAGAGCTATGAATAAAGTACTTTTATGGGTGAGATGTGTTCTACTGGGAACTATCTACCCGTCTATCCGAGTAAAACAATATAAATTACATATTTTGCTTGTAGCAAACTGTGGAATGTAGTTTTCTGTGGATCTTGTTGTACTTTGTTATCCCTTTTTTTCTTCTTCTTGTTTTTCCTTTTTAATTTATGCTATTGCTGCTGTTGAGTTTGAAAATTCTTGTATATTACAAGGATGATTAACTCGAGTTTTTTAAGTAATGCCGGTAATAAATGTTATATCTACGCATATTACTGTGTACAAGTTTAGGAATGGCAATGGAGTCGAATGCAAGAAGCACGTTTTTCAAGTTCAACAATGGCAAGATTCGAACCATCCATGATAATTTGTGTTTTATCCACTTAACATAAGGTTGGATTGACAATGTCAACGACAATAGAATTTCTGAGTAGGTACGGAAAAAATGGTAAAACCATTGTCTACTTTAAAGTTGAGCATGGCTTCAAATTAAATATCATATACATTTAAATTAATCATTTGAAAGTTTTAGATGAGGAGCTCGAGGGGAAATTATTTGAGCCTGAGGTTGAAAAGAATTTAGAGGATTATTTGTGGCCTGGTTAACTAATTTTTCGAAGTTACGTAAAGTAAAATATGAAAGATGTTTAGTGATCTTGTTTAGAGGATACTTTGTTTTTCTAATTCATTTCACCAAAAATGAAAACTATAGCAAAGAATCAACACTTATTTCTATTTTCGTTATTATTATTTTTTGTAAATAGATGTATTTATAAGTAAAGCAAACTTTTGAAATTAAAACGAACAATGTAATTTTAAGGAATCATAATACCGGCAAGGATCAACCAATCCAGATGGACCGATTGAATTGATCCGATTGACAACAAGTGGTATGAGCGACACGAAAATACATATTCTCTCTTTCCCTCCATAACGTCTTACTTACTCATTTTTTTGTCTCACCATTTCTAACCTCTCTTTTTTTGCATTTCACAACACCACGAGGACTTCCCTTACTCATTTGTCTTTTTTTATCTTTTTTAAATTTAATATATCTTTTTGTATTTAAAAAACTTGAGAAGAAAAGATAAATGAAAAGACAATTAAGAAAAAAGGCAGTACGTACCTTTGGAATTTGGATTGTGAAAAAAAAAACGAAAAGATAATTTATTTATTTATTATTATTATTATTTTTTGAAGTTCAACTTTCTACAGTAGGTAGCATCTACCTTTGAAATTTGGATTGGGAAAAAAAGAAATACCAAGGTTTGTTTGTTGCAAGGAGATTATAAGATTTTTTTTTAACAATGAAAAAAATATTCTTTTTGAAATATAAATATGTTATATTGAAAAATACAGTAAAAAAGATACGAAAAACTTGAGAAAAAAAAATTCAAATTGATGAAAAATAGATGATATTGATGGAAAAAAATAGGASATGTTGATGAAATATTGAAAGTTAATAAATAATGACAAAGCAAGCACATRTCAGATGGTAATTGACATATATCTCCAATCAAGAGATTGGAGATATATCACAATCAAGAGATTGTGAGCTTGGTCCGCTACCCCACATGTTGTACTAAAAAAAAAGAAATATTAAAAATAAAAAATCAGTGTTCAAGAGCACAATGTTAGAAGTTTTTTTTCTAATTACACCATGTAGTTTCGTTTCAAAAAAGACAACATGTAGTTTTCTTTTTCCTCTTTTWGAGGGAAGACGACATGTAGTTTAGAGGTAGCATATTCTCGTATAATGAATTCTCCCCATATGGCCTATTTCACATTTATTACCCAATGTAAATACAAAGATTTATGCTTAGCCAGGCCCATATTTTACATTTATTACCCAGAATCCTAATTTTATTTTATTACATTATATGAACTGTTTCTTTTCCCTCTCTCTCTCGTGTTCTATATCCCCTCAAGTTATGGTACATGAAAAAGGAATTTCTACCATTAAGACATAGATTGCCTAAAATATATGGTTTTATTTGTAATTAAACCTTATGGTAATTTCAAAGTTTCCACACACTCCATGGAGGGGGGGAATGTCATAATACTCATGAAAATACTCACTGCATATGAACACAACTACTAATAAATTGCAGCTTATATAATAGACCTCTATCAAACTTCTAATTTTGAGGATTCTTGCTTGAACTTTGCTACAATGGCTATGAAATGGATGGTATTTTTGCTCATTTCGGTTCATTTTTTTCACTCATCTCAGAGCTATTTCTCTCATAATCCAACTACTAATTACTAATGCGTTTTGGTTTATTATTATTACTTCTTTTGTTTTCTTAAGGCTTGTTGGTTTGGATTGCTTACAACTTAGAACTTGTTCTTCTACTTGCAGGCAGGTCTTGTAGTAGTTTTACTACTAGTACTATGTCTGATATTTGGATTAAAGCATCATCCAGAAAGCAATAATGATGATGCTATAGACTATAATGACATTGATGTGGTTCAATATGGGGCAGCTGGGGATGGAATTACAGATGATTCACAAGTAAATATCCACACTCTCAGGCTTCAAGTTTTGTATCTAATACGCTATCGATTCTAATTATGATTCATCATTCAAAGGCATTTCTAAAGGCTTGGGAGGCTGTTTGTGAAGCTACAACTCCCTCAGCTATGCTAGTACCATCTCGCAGAACATTCTTTTTGAACCCAGTGAAGTTCCAAGGCCCATGCGTGTCCTCCAGTGTTGGTGTTAAGGTAATCAGGCTTTTCTAGTTGTTCTTTTTTATAATCGAGATGTTAGTGTTCCCACTAGCCTAAGGCCTAAGGCTCATCCCACCAAACAGATCTTCRGAGATATCAAGGGTTTTAAGATACTAAGTTATCAACCAGAGCTCGAATCTAAAAATAAGTTCTAAACATTATTAATGCGTAAAGTGCATAAGGTTCTAGTGACTTACTTGGGAAGTGCAGATTCTTGGGAAAATTGTGGCTCCGAGTGACATTGATGCTTGGAAAGAATTTGACGTGGAAAATTGGTTGCTCTTCTCTAATGTGAGTAGACTTGTCATACGAGGGAGTGGCCAAATTGATGGGCAAGGAGCTGCTTGGTGGGGCCGGAAATCACATGGTAGACCCACGGTTTGTCAGCATCACCATTCCAATTCTCACTTGTCTTTAGACTGTGTCTATGTTTATGCAGGGATGTTTCTATTTTCTTGTCTTACCAATGTTTTTTATTGTATCCGCATGGTGATTGCAAGGCACTGGCGTTTTACGACTGCGACAGCCTTCGGCTATCTGAATTAACACACATTAACAGTCCAAAAAGCCACATGCACATAGTTCGCTGCAATGACACATCCATCTCTCAACTGCAGATATTAGCACCTGAGGATAGTCCCAACACGGATGGTGTCGATGTCAGCTATTCGACCAACGTTCAGATTCAGAACTGCAAAATTGCAACAGGTATAGTTAGTGCAATCCCAATAAAGGTTAACCAGAAACTTAATTTTTGTGACAGAACTAATTCTTCAATTGCAATAACAGGTGATGATTGTATTTCTATTAGCGAGGGCTGCTCCAATATCCATATCGCAAACATCCAGTGCGGACCAGGTCATGGCATAAGGTTTAAGTTACTCAAAAACTGTTAAAATGTTTCCTGATTCACATTTTAGCTTCTAGCATTTGAAATTAAAATTAAAAAGTCTTGCTAAGAAGGCAAGTGGTTTCAGTATTGGTAGCTTGGGAGAAAATGGGGTGACAACCAATGTAGAAGAAGTGAGAGTTCAAAATTGTCACCTGAAAGGGACCATGTATGGAGCAAGGATCAAAACTTGGCAGGTTTCTCTACCTGTTGATACTTGATGTCTTGATCTGATGTCTTCAAACAAGGAGAATTTTATTGATTTTTCATCCATTTCCTACAATTTAGGGGGGATCTGGATATGCAAGGAAGGTATCCTTTCAAGGAATCACACTGGATCAAGTTAAGAATCCAATCCTGATCGACCAGTATTACTGCAACGGTAAAAATGGCTGCAAAAACCAGGTAACATCAGGAAACGTTTCCTTCAACAAGTGTACATGCAAATATAGACTAAATCCATATCCAAAAAGTAAACAAAACTGGACATTTTCCTTTTAGCAATAGACTTTTTTAATATAGATATGCAAAAGGTAAATTAACATATCAGGGAAATCTAGCAGACATCAGCTGTCCAAGTGAGTGATGTTTTGTACCAAGGATTTCATGGAACATCTGCAACAGAGGTCGCAATCAAATTAAGTTGTAGTGAAAGTGTAGGCTGCAGCAACCTTGCATTTGAAGATATTGAGATAAAATCTGCAGATTCTGATAAAATCACACAGTCCTCATGTTATAATTCCAATGGAAGATCTACAAATACAGTTCCAGCCATAGATTGTTTGTTGCCACTGATGAATTCTTGAAAGAACATCTGTGAATGCATCTGGTAAAGGAAGCAATTTTACAGGCTCCCACTGGAAGAAATGATTGATTTTTTTTTTCCAGACTAACGATCTTACATCAGTAGCATACTCAGCTGCACCGTATCCTAGTTCTGGTTTAGTTTGTACCATTTATTTTTACCCATACAACATTGGACAATGTCTATTACAATATGATGTCTACTGAAAAAAACCACATCAACAATGCTAACCCTTTTTAAAGATATACTTCAGCAGATAGACACTATTATGTTGGTCAATTTCTTRGATGGAGTAAAAATTGAAACACAGACAATGAATGCTATACAGATATATGAGGGGAAGAAATATTCTACTGCAACAAACACAGTCAATCAAAGCAACTGACTAAGCGAATATCGAAAATCCTTAAAGGACTCGGAAAAATTTTGTTCTTTATTTCTTTTGGAAAAAGAAAAGGAGTTGGTTGAGGCATACTATATAGATAAACGTGAATAGAGTAACAGACGTGTTTACATTCCCAAATATTCAAATAATTCGTCCAATACAACAACAAAGGTTGATACAACTAAATAGAAAGTGATGAAGTCTATTATACTCGTCATGATATCACCTCCAGTTCCAACTAAGATATTAACTTAACTTCTAATTCCAAAGTATTACATACAAATCCTACAAGGATACAAGTAAATTCTATATTTCACATGACTCCGAGCGTCCAAATAGCCTATAGCGGTTATCTGCAACGTTTTCATACACAAAATTTCGAACAAACCTGCAACTCAATTAGTAATCAGAATTAGAACGATAATTCTCACACCTGATTTTATTTTATTTATTTTTGTTTAGAGCTGTGTGGTGCTGAAAATTTTTTAAATGATAGTAAGGATTGACTTACAGTGGCACAAACTGGAGGAAAAAGGCAAGCTGGGGAAAGGGTAACTCTAAGTGTTCCATTATTCTTATAACAGCTTCAGATTTGATATAAGATCTGCAGTCCAGTATTTAAATTTAGCATCACAATCTTCAACTGAAAAGATAGCAGTAATGCCTTGTGGAAGATAGAGATATTTTTTTCTCAGTAAAAAAGGGCAACTTTCTTYTCTTTCCGGGGAGATCAATAAACTAGAAATATGTTATCTTGTAATTTTTAATTATTTTAAAAAAAAATTCTGGAACACCATTGATCATGAGCAAGATAGGCAAATATAGCTCTCATTGGACCCTTTAAAAGAGGAGCTGCATGCATATACCTATCCTTTTCAACTAGTACAACACTCGAAATATCATCCGGTGCTCTTCCCGACCTTCTAAGCAGCTTCTTGCCAGCTTCACTTTGGAGAGCCTCTAATCGTATTCTTCTGTAAACGTCAAGAGACAGGGTTTCAAGGTAATCCCAATGATAATTTCAACTTCTCCTTAGAGAAAAATGATGGCCCGTTTACAGAAACACATAAACTTAAATTTTTAGGGGCAACAATTCACTCAGGATAACAAGGTTGGTTCCCTTTGATAACCATTTTGTTTTATATTTTCTAAAATTAAGCTTACAGCCATTAATTTCACATCTTGTTATTAACATTTTAAAATCGTTTTCAAAATGTAAGCCAATTTTTTAAAACCACGAAAACTAGTTTCAAAAGCTTGTTTTTGTTTTTAAAATTTGGCTAAAAATTCAATAGGTTCGGAAGAAAGGTGAAAAAAATAATAAAGTAATATTAAGAAAACAAGTTTAATTTTTAGAATTAAAGAACAAAAAACGAAATTGTTATCAAAGTATCAAAGTATATAAACCACGGATCCTGAAAACAAACTTCGAGAATTATTTTTAAGATGTTTCTTTCTACCATACATAAGTATCGTCTTTCCAAGGGAAAAACAAAAAAACAAAATCAAAAGAACACGAACCTGTTTCGGTCATTAGCACGAACAAATCTTACACCTCCGTTGCATAAATTGCACACACCTAATAGATTAAGAAAATCATTGACACTTCACTTATACCATAAATCAGAAAAAACTAGAAAAATCATACACTAGCACCTCACTTCAATTCAATTCAATTCTATCAGTGAGCAGAGAATTCCACACAATATAGAAGAATCAGAGGTTTGCTTATTAAGAAAGAACAGCAATCGGAACACTGAAAAAATCCTGTACCGTCAAATAGCATTATTGGTCTCGAATCTTTCTCGAAGAAGTCAGAAGTTGCTTCGATCCAGTCTATCGTTTCGCCTTTGGTCGCCGGAGATAAAGAGGCGAAAGCTATTGAATGCCGCGGTCTAGCTTGCGCTTGAGGCGGCGGGAGAAATCGTGCCGGAATTCTCCCGGGAACCGGAATTGCCATTGGAAACGGTGGCAGTTGCTCTATTTGGCAATGGCTTTCCCCTTCGCCGATTTGCAGGAAAAATTTGAAATTAAAAAAAAATAAAATCGAAAAAAGATTACAATTACTTAACCTTGTTTTTTCTGATAATTACGGGACCATCCTGAATACGGAAAATGACTTCGGTGGTGTTACGGTAATTTCAGTGTTCAATTCTGTTTGTGCCRCGTGGGATTGTACAGTCCACCTGAGCTTGTGATTGGACTATGATTTTTTTAATAATTTAATTTAATGATKAAAAAAGTCAATAAATTTATCAGAATATTATTGTCATTTCTTTTCATAATAAAAAAYTCAAACGACGTATCGAGCGTTGAATTAAAACCTTCTATTGCCAGTTGGATCATGTTTATTTTGATTTTTTTTAACAACCCAAATAATATATGATTTCTGTAAAGTTGTTTGTTTGTAATTATAATGTTTACTCATTCACTTTTAATGCTTTCATTTTTTATAAGATTYGTCAAAAGTGACGATCATGTCCCATCTTATCTTAACAACCTTTTAAACAGTAGATTTCAAAGATATAAGGTTGTCAGTTTGATCATATCCTGTCAGYTCGAAATCTTATYCTAATATGTTATCATGTATTCCATTTATCTAGACTAGAGACTCATCGGAGAATCTCTATTATTGTTATTCTTTTCACAATAAAATTCTTGCAAGTTTTCTTTTTAACATTAATGAGTCTTGAATTCAAACATTTTATTGTTGTTTTTGACCAGTTAATTCATGTTGATTTTGATTTTTTAACGACCCAAACTATATGTCTAGATTGTGTTGTTGCTCATTTTTTGGATCAACGACTACATGTGTTGGTCATATAAACGTCAATATGGTCAATGTGGGGTAACAACACCAAAGATATGAAAAACATAATAAGAGGTAAACTTAAAAACAATGAAAAATAGGCATTAGTTTGATGTATGTCATATGCATTCTAGAATTTACGTGATCGAAATAGCTCAATTAGTTAAGACATTATTTACTAACCTAAAGACAACCCGTTCAAATAACTCACTTAGGTTGAGTTTAACCATATAAATAATAATAATTAAAGTAATATGTTTGACAAATCAMAATAATCAATTTTCATCTATTGGTAGTTTGACAAGTAGTTTACCAGTCACGGTTAATCTGCTAAGACGTTTGTCATACATAATATATGGTGGGAACATTACTTGCATGTTGGGTGGTTGGAAATGTAACTATGATAGGTCAAGTACTGTTAAACATACTAGTCTTGTCTCTTATAAAGTATGACGTGACTACATCTTCACAATATTAAATGACATGAGATGTAATACTTTTGATCCTTTTGTAGTATTGAATTTGTTTCAAGTATTGAAGAACGAGTCACCTAAACTAAATAACCTATCATATTTCATTACCAGACTTATCACTTGATATAGTCACGAGTGACTTCTTTTTTATCTTAAGCGTACTATGTCTCACCTAATTAGACTCTGCTTATAATGTTCTTACCTAGTTAAGTCAATGACTTTTTCTTTTTCTTAATATCTAACGTAATTAGAYTTTTTAGTGACTTATTGTCAAAGTTCAATCGATAGTTTGAGCTAACATTTTAACATTAATTATATTTTTTGTAATTGAAAAAATATGAACTTGAATCTAGCCCCATTATCAATCAAATGTTGTTTGCATTCCACGATTTTACAAATTCAAACATATGTATTCAATAAGAAAAAACACGTTTCTTTCCACAAAATAAAAAAAGGAGAAAAAGGAGAAAAAAAGACACCTCCTAGAACCGAGTCAACYCACTGTGTTGACTCTTCCACTACATTTCTTACAACTCGCCGCCAAGTGACAAGCGGCGGTTCTTCCTCCGTTTTTTTGCTCAATAATAATTCACCCAAAAGGATTTTCAATTTTTTTTTTCTCATTTTTTTTCTAATTAATAAATAGTAGCTGCAAGAAACGGGTCTCTTTTTTCTTGGGGTTGTCCTTTGGAAGATCGGCGGAGAGTTTCTGAACCAAAACGCGAAACCGGGAGGAGAAATTCCGATCAAACAGAGGAAGAGGCCAAATGGGGTGGATCGGAGAAACCATTGATTCCATCAAATCCCTTCAGATTCGTCAGGTCCTCTCCCAGGTCGTCAGTCTCGGTTAGCTACATCTCTCTCACACCTACGGATCTCGGTTCTTCTGGGGAGAAATACTACTGTGGGTTGTGACTCAAAGTTGAAATGTTGGTTTCTTTGAGCGCTTTGGATATTTGAGAATCACAGCTTCAGACCCAGCTGGTTTTTATGCAATTCGCGTGCATGATTAAGAATTGGGTCGACGAGGGTTTTTGTTTTCCCACTAATTTATGATACCAGAAAGTTTTAGTGGTTCGGTCCAATTTGGTTTTCGGATTACATTTTGCCGAAAGGAAATTGGAAATTGAGAAGKAAAACTTAACACGAGAGCGAATTGTCGTCATTTTCATGATGATGTGTTCGATTCATTTTCGATGCTACGGTTCAATATTTTGTTTATGGAGCCCTTAGGTCTTGAGGAGGTTGCAATGTGCTAGGAGATTGAATAGTTGCTTTAAATTCATTGGCTTTTGGCTTCTGCTGGTCTCTGAAAGTTGATTTTTCGATTTTGGTTACTTCAATTATAGAAACAATGTTACCACTTCTTTTTTGCAGATGCCAATTTATCCCATGAAGGATATTATTGAAATATTTGGGTTACAGATGCCAAATAACCCCATTCTAAATGTAACCAGTATTGGTTGAGTTTAACTGACTCTTTAAATGACAGATGTTCTTGTTAAAATTTATCATCGATGTTATGGCCTTGTGACGGTTGAAACTGATTAGTTTTATTTATTTGTTCAGGCATGATTGTAACATCTGCTCTCATAATATGGAAGGCATTGATGTGCATTACTGGGAGCGAGTCTCCTGTTGTTGTTGTTCTGTCGGGGAGCATGGAGCCTGGATTTAAGAGGGTAAGACGATTTTACTATGATGGATTTTATAAGTTTGCTCATAGAATAACTTTTGTTTGTACATTGATTTTCTTTTGGTACTAACTGGTTTCTGGACCTGTTTGTCCATCGAGACTTGTTTTTCTTGTAAATTTTATTTATTCATTTTTTTTTTTTAAAGTTCTGGTTAACTAAACATTCATTATCTTATTTTCAAGTATTAAATTCTAAGGATTTGCTTCTTAGAGTAGTTTGACAATGATGCAGAAGAACATACTGTAATTTTGATTCTAAAATGGTTGTATTTGCATGTCTACTTATCATTTTTTGGTGGTTCTATGAAACGAAATAATTAAACATTGTTAAGAATCTACAACGTTCTTGAGTTTATAAAGTGTTTTGTTATTCTAAACCTATAGTTTGTATGCATAACCTGTTGAAATGAAAGGATTAAATCCTTGGTATAAGATGGAAGTATTTTAACTTTATCATTTTAAGTTTAGTTTCATCATCTAATTTTAATCATTCAAATAAAATGCAGGGGGACATCTTATTCTTACACATGAGTAAGGATCCTATTCGTGCTGGAGAGATTGTTGTCTTTAATGTTGATGTAAGTGCTGTGCTGAAAGGGTTTAATGCTTTCTATTTTATTTAGCATCTGCTTACATTTTATTGTCTTATTGTTCACTTTTGTTTCGGACATTTTTCTAAATTTTTTTTGTTATTGGTTAACCTTTGCAGGGTCGTGAAATTCCAATTGTTCATCGTGTAATCAAGGTAAGCATCTTTTAAAGATGATGTTGTTATCTAAATGCTATTCGCCATTTGGAACTGGTCACACAATTTTCAGTGCCCTCTGTCTTCACATTTAATAAATTATGATATGCTTTGCACGTATATTTGGGTATTTTATGTTAGTTATTTGGGATGGCATTATGTTCTATTTATGTTTAGCTTCTTCAGTGGTTGGCTGTTGGAAATGAGATGAATGACATTGTTGTTGTATAGTGTAGAAGTTAAAACAGTAATAAACGACTATATTGCACTCCACATCTGAAGAAACTGAACTTCCTCCCAAGTTATATATGTTATGTTCTTTGCACCGTGAACTTTCTTATTACTGTTCTTTTCCGTATCTCAACTGTGAACATATATAAACCTACTGTCAGACATTATATCAAGCTTTTGCTTGCTGTTTCTGCATGTCCTTTAATTTGGCTAAACCATGTTAATTAGTGATCTAGTTTTTGGCTCTGTTTATCCATAATATAATTGCTTTCTCAGGTTCATGAGCGGCCAGACACAGGAGAAGTTGATGTTCTTACCAAAGGTGCACGCTTTTAATTGAATAAGTTTAGAGTACGTTTTAATATGCAAGCTTTTGGACATATATGCATTGTCTTTTTATAAGGTCAAAGAATTGACGTGACCTAATTCTAATGTTATGCACTTCACAATCTCAAATATTTATGATCAAAGTTTTGTTAATCTAATTATTTTCTGTTGCTTCAAAGTGCTCACTCTTTCTCATACTTTTTGCTTAGGGGATAATAACTATGGGGATGATAGGCTATTATATGCTCAAGGTCAGCTTTGGCTTAAGCGGCATCATATAATGGGGAGAGCTGTTGGGTAAGAACTTTGAATCTATCATCTCATTCATTTCATTTTCTGTCATTGAAGTGTATCAATAGATACATACATGCTAATGCTCATGTTGTCTTTTTCAGGTTTTTACCTTATGTTGGCTGGGTGACCATTATTATGACCGAGAAGCCGATAATTAAGGTTTGTAAATCATGCCTCTCCGGTTCTCCTTCTCCCCCACTCCATAAAAAAATACTTTCAGGTTTCATTCATACACGCATCTCCCATGTTTGAAAAACAATTGAAACTCAAGATCTTTATCATTAAAATAGCTGTCCCCTAAACTTTTTGACAAACTTCGTGAGCCACGGACTCCGTTGGAAGACTATCAAATTGACACCCTTATGCAATTCCATACAAAAATGGCATACATGAGATCCCACTTTGGATCAAAGCCTCACTCTGCACAGATGTAGACGATGTATTTGCATCTGCATTTGCTTGAAATCACAGTGGTCTACATTGGATACGAACATTAACTTTCTTCTGATAGCCACTTATATTTGATGATGCATATGTTCCGCGTGAGGTATGAGTAGGAGAAAATCTTAATATCCTATGTTGTTTATTTTTGCAGTATATTCTTATTGGAGCTTTGGGGCTTCTTGTCATAACTTCAAAGGAGTAAGGCCAAACCAAAGTAGCAAAATTTAGGTACACAGACAGATCTCCACAAGTAATTTCCTTTGTATACTGGACACAACTTTTCTTATGTTAGCTCTTTAACCTCTTAGCACCTGTTTTTGTTACTCTATTTGCTGAGCATTTCTCATGGAAAACTAGAATTGTATCAGAAACTCGGTTCGGCTTTCGACTCTCTGTTTCGATCTGATGATGAGGGTATGTCTTGCAACTATGAACATGGTGGGTTTTGGTTCTTCTTAGGGGCTGTTTGGTTGGTGGAATTGAAACTAGAACTAGACTGAGAATTACAAAGGAATTTGGATGATATTGAAATCAGATTTTGTTCAAGCAGGTTGTTCTATCCAGTTCAGGGACTGAATTCTAATTTCTTTTTWTTTTTCTGAAATATGGTGTTACAGAAATATAGTAGTAGATCTTCTTGCCCATGGATTTTCTTCATGTTGTAGAATTTGGTTGAGTTGTTTTTTATTTGTTTAAAAGGATTTTGCATGTTAAACTACACAGGCAATGTTGGTTTTTGGTAAATTCACGAAGTATTGCTATTTGTTTAAAATACAATATCTTTCATATTATATGCTATGTACTAAAATTTTGGTAAAAAGAAACCCTTAAATTTTCTAAAATAATATTTTTTTAATGTTATTGTCAATCTAACAATAATTTTGTCCTTAATCATTATCTCATGGTTGTAATCCAAAGTGATAAAAAAAAATATTTAGATGTAAACTGAAAAACAATTCAAATAATGAAGTTATTATTATTATTATTATTATTATTATTTTAATTATATCAATGTCAATTAAAACCCAAAAGTGAAATATGATTAATATTGAATCACAGGGATAAAAAAAACATTTAATATTATTTTTCAATGTATTACATGTAGCAATATATTTAATAAACTGAAATAAATAAACTGAAAGAAATAAAATTGAAAGAATATATATCTAAAGAAGTTTGGCAAATTAAAAGAATATATGAAAATAAAATAAATTGAAACAATATTTAAAAGAAATAGGGGGAAAGAATAAAGATCATTTAACAAAGTGTATAAATTTTTACTCTAAATTTTTAATTTAATCAAACCAACACCTTTTAGCTTTAATGGGTGTTGCAATCTTCCCCAAAATTTTAAAAAGTGTTGCATTTTTACCTTCTAATTAAAAAATTGTTGAAAAAACATAGATTATAAAACATTTTTTTTATATAGAAAAGTATGAAATTGATAAAAGATTCAAACAAAACAAGAGAGTTTTTATTTTCTTAATTAAAATTAAAAAAGTTTTGGCAGAGTTATCTGATGATCCTATTTATTTATTAATCAAATTTAATTTGTGAAAAGTTTAATTTTCATTGAATTAATAAGTCTTTTTATTATTATTGTTATTTTTGGTTAAAATTAGTGGGTCAATCARCAGAAATTCAATGGTTTTTTTTTAATATTGTTGTAAATGAAACTTATTTTAAAAATATAGTTGTTKAATTAAAAATATTAAAAATATTGTAGTTTTAAAAAACAGAAGGTTGGAGAGACGACCATTTAGACGTGGACGCCACGTAAATTTTTTTAAAAATTTGAACGTGGTCGTCCGGTCGGTTCATTTCTGGAAAAAAAAATATAATTTTTTATATTATATATTATTTAGTAGTTTTAATGTAAAAAATTCTTTAGTGGTGACGTGGYGCCACATGGTCGTCTCTTGGTTCAAATTTTTAAAAAAATTTACGTGGCGCCGACCAACCTTCTGTTTTATAAAACTACAATATTTTTAAAAAAAGTTTCAAAACCTACAATAYTTTTAATTAAACAACTATATTTTTAAAATAAGTTTCATTTACAATAATATAAAAAAAACCCGAAATTCAATAGACTGTATAAAAAAAAATTTCTCGAAGAAATTATCTTGAGACTCCAAGAGCCAATCACCTCCGCCTATTTCAACAGCGCACAGAGCGTACAATGGACCTTCATCTGTACAATTAGGAGTTCAAAAACAATGGCAATTTGCAAAATCAAAACCTAAACCCCCAAAACCAAAACCCCACCAGAAAAAAGGAAAAAACATAGCCCATAACAAATATCCAACCCTGTAAAAATTTCAGACATTTCCCCCTCTCGGATCCCCTACGGCAGTCCTTTCGACTCTCTAAACTCCAATCTGAATTCTTCCCACGGCCGTTCTTTCTCTTAATCGCCCCATTTTGTGTTCTTTTCAAACAAATCCCATTATTGTACCTATTATTTTTGCTGCTTCAATCTGTTGTTACCTCACTGTTCTTCACATTCTCGCGCGGATTAGTATTGGAGTGTTCTTCGAGTTTGTTTTACTGCCTTTGGCTTCTGGGTGTGCTTCAATTTTGAATACCGCTGCTTCATTATCGAATTAATCTTTACCCCATTTTTTTCTTGTAGCAGCCGCCTCTCGGTTTCCCTGTTTGTATTTGGGGGCAGTGGCTGTTTTCTCATGAATATGATTTAGATCTCGATTTTGATGGATGGGTATGTTTCTTCTACCTGAGGAGACGCCTAGAACATGCTCTCTCTGCGACCTATTCGCAGATTCTGCCGTGCTGCTACCGTCATTGTATCTACAGAGACTCCCGCGGCTGTATTTAATCAAGTTCTTAACTCGAAATCTGTGGAAGAACCTGCACTTATAAAGCTTAAGGCGGAACGGGACCCTGAAAAGCTGTTCCATCTGTTTAAAGCCAATGCCCACAACCGGCTTGTGATTGAGAATCGATTTGCGTTCGAAGATACTGTGTCTCGACTGGCTGGAGCTCGTCGATTCGATTACATTGAGCATTTACTTGAGCATCAGAAGACGCTCCCGCAGGGGCGCCGTGAAGGATTCATTATAAGGATCATAATGCTATATGGTAAGGCTGAGATGATCAAGCATGCTGTTGATACTTTTTATGATATGCACTTATATGGGTGCCGTAGGACTGTGAAATCTTTTAATGCCGTGCTTAAGGTTTTGATGAAGACCCGTGATTTGGGAGCCATTGAGGCATTTTTGAGTGAAGCTCCTGAAAAATTCGATATTGAGTTGGATATTATTTCTGTTAACATTGTTGTTAAGGCTTTTTGTGATATAGGTATTCTAAGTAGAGCTTATCTTCTCATGTTAGAGATGGAGAAAGTGGGAATAAGACCTGATGTGGTTACCTATACGACGTTAATTTCAGCTTTTTACAAGGATAATCTATGCGAAATTAGTAATGGACTGTGGAATCTAATGGTTTTGAGGGGTTGTTTGCCCAATCTTGCTTCTTTCAATGTGAGGATTCAATATTTGGTTGACAGGAGACGAGCGTGGGAGGCTAATAAATTGATGAATGTGATGCGGAATATCGGTATTGTTCCCGATGAGGTTACTTACAATCTGGTAATAAAAGGCTTTTGCCAAGCCGGTTTTTTTGATATGGCCAAAAGGGTTTATTCTGCTCTGCAAGGGAGCGGGTATAAACCTAACGTCAAAATTTACCAAACCATGATTCATTACCTGTGCAGAAGTGGAGATTTCAACCTGGCATATACAATGTGCAAAGATGCCATGAACAGGAATTGGTTTCCAAATATTGATACAATTCATTCATTAATTAAAGGCCTGAAGAAGATGGGACAGCTTGGGAAGGCTCAGTTGATCCTAACATTGGCTAGGAAAAGGGTCCCTCCTTTCTCTCTAACTCAGTTGGAAGCTTTGAATACCACACTGGCCAAGAGTTGAAAAAGAGATTTGTATACTGATGCTCGATAAAATGTAACAGGAAGCTCAAAAGGAGCTCATATTCTTTATTTGGTTCTATTTGTAAATTACAAAGTTAATTGGACACTGATTTTTTATGGGGTTACATCTTCAAAAAGGTTTCTCTTTTTCTCAGTTAATTTATTCTACCACCTCAATAAAGTCTGTTACAAGATGAGAGTTCCGAATGGAGTGGCCGACGTTCACCATATTCTCTGTGAGTTATTGAGCAAGTCTCTTTCTCTCGCTGTCACTGTCATATATACACATATTTAGGCAGCAAACATGCATTTCCACGTCCAAAAAATTCCATCCTCAACTTGATTTGCAATGTTGCCAACTGTTTGTACAAGTAATTCTACATATACAATACACACTTTCTCATTTTCTTATCTATGATGTCTCTTGGAAACCAATATGAATTTAATATTTTCTTCAAGGGGAATTTGTAGAGTTTCTATTATGCATGGACTACAGCCAAAAAAATCTCATAAATATCTGATGCCATGGTTTTGAAGATTCAGCTTATGGCTATTTGCTATCGCTTACTTCTTTTGTTTAGAAGGTGGATTCTTTGTTCTTCTTCTTGTCCTGTTTATGATATCACAGAGATGTTGCAACCGTGTTACAAGTCATGTACGCATCACTTTTTATTTTGTGATGACGACTTTCTGAGTTTTAATCATGTTTGGTCATTCCAGCATCGGTGCTCACCAACGCAATGGCAATAGGAATAAGGGCAAAACCTTTCCTGTTAGATTTTTTTGAATGCTGCATAGGTAATTTCAAATTTTTGATCATCATGAAGTATAGAATATTATTTTTTAAACATGTGAATTTATGAATAACCATTTCTTTCGTAGAACTAAAGCATTAGACCATATTTTGTATTAACCTGTTTGGAATTCTTTCAGTATTGCAACCTTTTTATCTGGTAGTCAACTTATCATAACTTAACTAGTTAAGACATATATTCTTGATGAAAAAGTCGGAAGTTTAAATCCCTACCCCCATTTGTTGTTGAACTAAAAAAAATTCACATTTCTATCTCGTATATAGACGAGAAGCTTAATCTAAGGGCATGGATAAAAGTAGATGGTTTATGAAAATGTGAAGTACATTTATTTCTCTGCTGTTATGTTGATTATGAATCTGTTGTCCTTATGCCTCCAGGAAGTCAATGCCAGATTGATGATTTCTCAACTTCTCGTGTGTCTAAATCTATCATTTGATTTGGTCGAGAGAACATAAAATAGTAACTGTTCTATACAACTCAGCATGTTGGTGCCTTTCCTGTTTTCCCTCTTTGTGAGCTATCGAGCATCATCGATATGTATAGGGACGGTTCCTTCTGCCTGCTCTGTTGGTCTGACAAGATTTCTTAAGGTGAGAGGCTGTATTTGAGTTTTCGAGCAAGAAACTCGACATCACCTCTCATTCTTCTCTGATTCGATTTATGTTACTTGCAGCTGTTCATGGGCTTATGATCATTGTCATAACACTCAGCGAAAGCTTGTAATCAGCATGCATCTCAAAAGGTCGTTGGTCGATCTCTCAAGCCTCAACTTTCAACCATATGTCCAGGGCATTATACAGACAAGGAGAGAGAGACATCATCTAAAGTTAAATGGGGCTGAAGAACATTAAGGAACAGTGGCTGTCTGTTCTTCAACCTGAATGTTAGATCCTTTATTTCTCACTTGGGATCTCCTGTTAATTTCAGGCGCCTGTGTTTCTCTTGCCATGGATTCTGTTCTTGTCTGAGAGTTTTCCTTTGTATTTGAATGTCACTGGGTAGAGGGAAATTGTTCAATTTGGATTACAGCAAGAGTCTGCCATTTTTTGTAGGATGGAAGTTACCACAAAGTTGAATGTAAATATTTACAGGGGGAAAGTTTAAAGACTGAATCTTTTATTACTGTTCATACCTGATAATAAGAATTAATTAGTAAAGATTTCGGTAAATAATTTTTTTTTAATTAAGTTTTGTTCATATTTTGATTTATATGTTAATTGTTAACCATTAACTTTTCCTGTAATTAATTTTTTTTTTCAAACAAAAATCAAGGATATTTCATAGGAGGTAATAATTCAGTTTAGATGGTTATTTTACTTTATTTTTGTTGGTTAAAAATTTTTCATGGTCCTCTGTGTTTTAGTTTGTAACTACATCTAAATATTTAGATGTAACAATTTTATTAATGTAATTTAAAATTTATATAGGTTGATTCTGTGTTTATCAATTATAAAAACTAAATTTTTATGTGTTAAAATTAGTACTTAGCTTTATAAGATTTTTTACTTCTTATAATTCGAATTATAACAATTAAATTGTTACATATTAAAATTATTAAATTGTTACGTATTAAAATTTATGGAGTTAAATTACTGACCTCGACTAAATTAAAATTCGAATCGACATGGAATGAAATCGATAGGTTTTTTTGGGAATTTGAACCAGATATATTTGCCGTTGAAATCGATGGAATTGAATACGTTGATTATTTTTCAGTTGTGAATTGTATAAAACTACAATGGAAGGCATCTTGAATCTTCCCGCTAAGAGCTTTACACAAGCCTCGCTCTCAAGTTGGCTTTCTTCTTCTGCACCAACAGGAGCACAAGCATTTTCCTGAGCGGGGAAACTCCATTTTTGTGCAGAGTGATCGCTTTCAGACCCACAAATCTCATCCTTCAGAATCATCGATTCCTCTTACATGTCTAAAGCCCTTCTCTCGCGAATCAAGCCCCTTCGCAACCTCAAACCGAAACCATCTTCCCCTTTCTCCTTTCCTCTCAAATGTGACATCAAGAAGCTTGTCAATGACACCATTAAAATTCTCAAGTCCCACGAGAAGTGGGAGCAATCCCTTGAAACCCAGTTCAATGAATCCGATATACCCGTCATCGACATTAGTCATTTCGTTTTGGACCGAATTGATGATGTAGAACTGGGTTTGAAGTTCTTCGATTGGGCGTCAAAGAATTCGAGCTCCTGTTCTTTGAATGGGAGTGCCTACTCATCGCTGTTGAAACTTCTATCGAGGTTTAGAGTGTTTCCGGAGATCGAATTCACACTCGAAGATATGAGAACTAAGGAAATTGTCCCGACCCGTGACGCACTGAGTAATGTGCTCTGTGCATATGCGGATTTGGGGTTCGTTGATAAGGCTCTTGTGTTCTATCATGGCGTCGTTAAGTTGCACAACAGTCTTCCAAGTACGTATGCTTGTAATTCCCTGCTCAATTTGCTTGTTAAACACCGTAGGCTTGGAACTGCACACCAACTGTATGATGAAATGGTCAAAAGAGATAACGGCGACGATAAATGTACGGATAACTATACTACTTGTATTATGGTGAGGGGCTTATGTTTGGAAGGTAGAACCGAGGATGGAAGGAAGCTGATTGAATCCAGATGGGGGAAAGGCTGTGTACCGAACATTGTGTTTTACAATACACTCATTGATGGATATTGCAAGAAAGGTGAGGTTGGAAGTGCTTATGAACTTTTTATTGAATTGAAGCTGAAAGGATTTGTACCTACATTAGAAACTTTTGGTTCCATGGTAAATGGCTTTTGCAAGACGGGAAACTTTGAAGCTATTGATCTTCTTTTGATGGAAATGAAAGATAGGGGCTTGAGTGTTAGTGTTCAAGTGTATAATAACATTATTGATGCTCAATATAAGCTTGGTTGTGACATTAGAGCAAAGGATATACTTAAAGAAACGGCTGAGAATTGCTGTGAACCAGATCTTGTGACTTATAATACTCTAATCAACTATTTATGCAGAGGTGGGGAGGTCATGGAAGCTGAGAAGATCTTGGAACAAGCAATAAAGAGAGGAATGGTGCCGAATAAGTTCACTTATACTCCGCTTGTTCATGCCTATTGTAAACAAGGGGAATATTATAGGGCCTCAGATTTACTTATTGAGATGTCAAAAAAAGGACATAAAGTTGATATGGTTTCGTATGGAGCTTTAATTCATGGACTTGTAGTTGCAGGGGAAGTCGATAATGCTATGACTATCCGGGACAGAATGATGGAAAGAGGGGTTTTACCTGATGCCAATATCTACAATGTTTTGATGAATGGACTTTTCAAGAAAGGGAATCTTTCCATGGCCAAGGTGATGCTTTCTGAGATGCTTGACCAAAATATAGCACCTGATGCATTTATTTATGCAACTTTAGTGGATGGGTTCATTAGGCATGACAACCTTGATGAGGCCAAGAAACTCTTTCAGCTCACTATAGAAAAGGGTATAGACCCAGGTGTTGTGGGATATAATTCCATGATCAAAGGTTTCTGTAAATTCGGGATGATGGAAGATGCAGTTTTGTGCATTGATAGAATGAGGAGTGCCCGTCATGTTCCTGATGTCTTTACTTTCTCCACCATAATTGATGGGTATGTAAAACAATGTGACTTGTACGCTGCACTGAAGATCTTTGGACTGATGTTGAAGCAGAGTTGCAAACCAAATGTTGTCACTTACACATCTTTGATCAATGGATATTGCCATAAGGGAGAATTGAAGATAGCTGAAAAACTTTTTAGCTTAATGCAATCTCATGGTTTGGAGCCTAGTGTCGTCACATACGGTGTACTTATACGGAGCCTTTGCAAAGAAGCTAAGCTTGCCGAAGCTGCATCGTATTTCGAGCTCATGTTGATTAACAGGTGCATCCCTAATGATGTTATATTTCATTATCTAGTCAATGGGTTTGCAAATATGAATGCTGCTGCAGTTTCCAAAGGACTAAATAATTTTAGCGAGAATGCTAAATCTATGTTTGAGGAGTTCTTTCTGAGAATGATCGGTGATGGATGGACACGAAAGGCTGCAGCTTACAATTGTATTCTCATTTGCCTTTGTCAGCATCGAATGGTTAAAACTGCCTTACAGTTGCGTGACAAGATGCTGTCTTTGGGACTTTGTCCTGATGCTGTTTCTTTTGCTGCATTGATACATGGCATTTGCTTGGGAGGAAGCTCAAAAGAATGCAAGAATGTTATTTCCTGTTATCTGAGTGAAAAGGAGCTGCGAATTGCCTTGAAATACTCACTGGAATTAGATAAGTCCATAACTCAGGGAGGGATTTCCGAGGCTTCGGACATTTTACAGGCTATGGTTGAGGATTACGAGTCTCCTAATCAAGATTTGAACAGTTTGAAGGTGTGACAAAGATATAGAATGGCCAGAAACTGAGATGGCTAAATCTAAACATGGACAATAGAGAGAGAAATAAGAACTACTTGGGGCTGGCCCTATCTGTGAGTTGGATTTCAGCAGTGAAGTGACATATCCGATTCCTTGTCAGACAGTGTCGAGTACTTTATCTGCTAGACAAGCACATTGTCAACAAACAGCAATATATTAGCACAAATTTGTTGCGAATAGAGAACACCAAAAAGTTACTCTGTCCTTCCAAGAAATTGAATCGTAATAAATTACAAGAAAGCATTTGGAAGATTGATACACAGCTTCAGCTGCTTCTGGCTGGCACTCTTTTCTTCAGTCACTTTCAAGCTCTGTCTCTTCATTTTTTGACGTGCTGTGAACCCCATGGCATTTGCCGCCACTCATCACGTTGGCTAGCTCTTGAATTGAGCAAGAAGTGCTTCGTCTCATCTTTTGTCCAAGTATCTCAATGTGATCCTTAAAACCTATCCCCAGAAGTCGGTTCCGCAACAACTCAACTGTAGAAATATATGGAGGTATTCCTTCATCAATCATCATCTCAAAGTACTTGCATGCTTCTTCTAACTTCCATTTTTTCTTGCAGAAACCATGAATCATAACAGCATAAGTTGAAGCAGAAGGGTAAAATCCTCTCTCTCCCATACTCTCCCAGACTTCATTGGCCCTGTCAAACCTTCCCACCCTTATCAGCAATTTCAGAACCATATTGTAAGTATGTCTATCAGGAACACATTTGTCTCTATCCATTCTCTTAATCAAGTTAAGAGAACTATTGACCTCGCTATGATCACAATGATAAGCTTGGATTGCATTGTAGGACCATGTATCTGGAGATACTCCCCTCTCAATCATTTCATCTAGAATTTGGTATGCTTCCTCCACCTTTTGATCTTTACAAAGCTTCTTGATAACGCAGTTGTAAGTAAACACATTAGGCAAAAGGTCACGTTTCTTCATTCTTTCTAGCACCCTATAGGCCGTATGTAAATCATTCTCTTGACAACTCGAGCGGATGAAAATCGAATACGTACCAGCATCCTGGTCGACTCCATTCGAAGCCATCTCCTGAAACATCTTGTACGCTTCATCCCTTTTCCCAGCTTTGCACAGAGCTTCCAATAGACAATTACAAGCAGGCACATCAATCGAACAGCCCCGTTCCCGCATTTCATCAAACACCTTCTGGGCATTGTCGGATTCGCCCACATCACCCCACCCCCTTGTCAAAATGCTATACGTTTTCACAGTCGGATCAAACTCACTCTTAACTTTATCGAAAAACTGTTGCGCATGAGCCACATGTTTCCTCTTGCATAAAACGTACAAGAGCTGATCAAGATCATCAATTCCAGGCCTTATTCCAAACTCCACCATTCTACTGAAAGCCCGAGTGGCGTCCTGAGGCAAATTAGCTCTACTGTAAGCTCTGAAAACGAGCCAGAAAAGCTCTGGGGTGATCACAGAGCATCGAGTCTCCCTTATTTCTATGAGAAAATCCCATAAAATAGCGAACTGCTTACTGCTTCCCAGAATGTCGACGAGAATGCGATAGCTATCGGCGCTGGGTTCGAAACCCGGAATTCTTGTAGCCCAGAGGAAGAACCTGTGAGCAGAGAATCCAATGTTCTTGCACCTTTTCAGAACCTGCTCGACGAGGTCGGTCGATACATTGGAGGAGAAAGAGGCGAGACCGAGCTCTAAGTCATGGTGGGGGCTTCTGCGATCGCTGAGTACGCGAGATATCTCACTGACGAGGAACGGGAGTGGTGGGTCCGATCCTGCGTGTGCTGTTGCGAGAGAATTGAATGGGCGTGGTAGAATGAAAGGCTTGGTTCTGAGGAGAGAGCCGGAGAGCGAGATGGAGATTTGGGATTTGGAGGAGAAGGCTCTGAATCTGATGGCCATTAGAGATGGGGTGTCAGTTGCAGAGGATGGTCGTCGGCATTTCAGAAGCAGAGCTGCACTTGGAATTCCTTCGTGAATTATTACGTTTTTTCTTCTCTTCCCAGAGAAAAATTAAAAAATGTAAGTTTTAAAAATAAGATTATATATCTGAGTAGTTATTGTTTAAAATTTTTCATTCAATTTCTTTTTTATTTTTCTCTTTTCTTTAGTACAGTCCAGAGCCGAGAAGATTCGATTCGAACTTGCGACCTTATAATCGGACATAGGCACCTTTGACTCATTAAATTAGTTTCAAGTCGGCTCCCTTGCTTTCTTTATGTTTTTACCTCTTTCAATTTAATTTTACTCAACACAATGTTTAGTTTACATGCACAAATTTAAAGAAGAACAAGAGAATAAAATTTTTAATTTATTCTTTATATTTCTAAGAAATTTGTAAAAATTTAAACTTTTCTACCCTGGATGATATTTTTGTGAAAGATATCTTTATCATCAATCAATTTTAACATCATTGATAGTGGGGTACATCAACTTGAGTAAGTATATATCATCTTCTACCAAAAGGTCGGATGAAGAAGTCAAAACATCGATGAAATGATAGCAAGTGTTTTATATTGGTTGAATTGACTGACAATGAACTTGAGGGTAAAATACGATAAAAGAAGAGGATAAAATGTTACATGCTTCTTTGTCGATTCTTATCAACATGGTGTTTCGACATAGTAATCACCTTACTTTTTCACTTTTCTTTTGAAATCTAGTTGAAATGGTAGAACTCGAAGAATTTAAAAAAGCATAAACTTATTGAAAATCCCTTTGAAAAAAATGTTATTGTTACCTTACTTGGCAGGTGTGTTGAAGCCCAATCGAATATGAGCATTAGGCCCATATCTGGAGCCTTACACGTAAACCCTCTGAAAATCTGAAGCATACTCCCGTCTCCGGAGGGTAACCACTGTGCTATGGACACCATTCACCGATTCTCCTTTCGTCTCTTCCCAATCTCTCTCGCCCATTGCTGTCTCAACCCTTCTTCAGCCACACCCAAATTCCCAAAACTTTTTCACAGACCCACTTCTTCCTTCGATTTCGACTGCATTCCTAAATTTGTTCCGCCCCGCCAAACCTACAGCTCCTCTTCCACTTCGATTGCCAAAGCCGGTTGGTTTCTCGGCCTCGGAGAGCAAAAGAAAATGAGCCTACCGACGATTGTGAAGGCCGGAGACCCAGTTCTGCACGAACCTGCCCGGGAAGTTGATCCTAAGGAAATAGGGTCCGAGAAGATCCAGAAGATTATCGACGATATGGTTTTGGCCATGAGGAAGGCTCCTGGAGTGGGTCTTGCAGCTCCCCAGATTGGAATTCCGTTAAGGGTATGTGAAAATTCCTTATGGGGTCTAATCCTCACTCTGTTTTTGAGATTTGGAAATTCAAATTGTGCTGGATTTCTCCATTTTCTTGTCTTGGATCCTTTTTTAGTGTTTCGTTTTACATTTGTTGCAGATAATTGTTTTGGAAGACACTCAGGAATATATAAGTTATGCTCCTAAGGAGGAGATCAAAGCACAAGATAGGCGCCCTTTTGATCTTCTGGTATGGTTTTATATTAATGAGAAGGCAAATTAAATTTGTATCTGTGTTTTCTATGTTCACCAATTTTCACTTCACAATTTGTTAGTTCTATTGAGCCAGGTGATCGTTAATCCAAAGCTAAAATGTAAAAGCAACAAAACTGCTCTGTTTTTTGAAGGGTGCCTAAGGTATGATGCATATTTTTTTCAATTCTCCTCTTCCAGAAATCCACTCTTTTAGATTTGCAATCAATTTTCTGTTCCCTCAAGTCCCAAATTTCTGATTAGAAGTAAAATCTTGATCATTTAAGGTTGTCATTTTGTTAAGAGAACAATGTGCTTACTGATCTCTATCTTAAAAAATATATGAAGCAAGCTGAATCAATATGTTTCTTAATAGATGTTCCACCCAACGATAAAAAATAATGCCATGGTAGTGTTCTTTCTCTGGACTTTGGAATTATAGCTGGTGAGGAGTATCAATTGTTTAGTTCCTTCTTTTATTCTGAATCTCCGATGATCTGGTTGGTGTGAAACTATATAATATGCAGCTTTCTTGGTCATATTGCAAGGTTCTCCTTCTAACAAATTGTTTCCTGTCATGGCTGTATTTGGATTATATTCATTAGTACCATCAGTGAAACAGTCGTGGGTGTTCTTCCTTGTCATTTTCATGTTATTTTATGATTCGTTCTTTATATATATTTTTTTACCTTGTAGTGTTGATGGATTTAGAGCGGTGGTTGAGCGCCACCTTGATGTTGAGGTAGTCGGTCTCGATCGAGATGGGAATCCTATCAAGGTGGATGCATCAGGTTGGCAGGCTCGAATTTTACAGCATGAATGTGATCATTTGGATGGAACTCTTTATGTCGATAAGATGCTACCTCGAACATTCAGAATGGCTGAAAATTTGACCTTGCCTCTTGCTGAGGGTTGCCCCAAGCTCGGAGCTCGCTAACTCCAGCCTGCACGGACGTTGGCCCCCGAGTTCGTAAACGTTTGATGCTGCAGATTGTCAGAATCCAAACGATAAATTATAAAACGGCAAGAGTGCCTGCGCGTTGGAGTTCATCTGGATTTTTTCATTTCATTGCTCTTACTCTGCATCCAAGTAAGTGTTTGTTTTGTTCAATTGAATTGTACTCTCTGATTGATCTCTGTCTCTGAATTTTGTTGGAAAATGGAAACAAAAGCAAGAGTTTTTTAATAGGTTCTCTTTCTCACATGTCGTAGTTAAAAGATATATCAAAGGCACTAATTTAACTGGAAATGGCACCATAGTAATTATGTTTACTTAGCAACAACAAATATATATGGATAGAACATGATTCTATTTAGCCAATGAAAATTTAACTAAGCTTTAAACATATTATGTATTACAATAGGAAAATATGATACGTGTATATGAATATATGGAATTTACCCCGCGTGTTTTAACGTCTCGAGTTAAGAATCTTTTCTATACTATGTTTTAAAGTAATGAAGTCTGATATTTTAAATAATTATGAATAATGCTAATAATAACCTTGTATTTGAACCCTGGGGTGACTTGAACATGATTCAACTAGTTGAAACGTGAATGGTATATTCTCGATCAAAATGTTATATGTTAGAGTTTTACGGAGGGATTGGATAGGGATGATTAAATTAAATATAAACTTAAAGGGCTCTTGCCACAACATTTAATTTTGACGATGCAAATGGCCACACTATTGTTTTGACGTGTTCGGAAGGTCATTTAAATTATTTTTTTAAATTACAAGAACTAAAATATCATTTTTAAAATTTGAAAGATAAATTATAAACTAAGTCCTATGATCAAATATAATTAATATTGGACTCTTGTTTTTTCTCTGGGAGTGAAAAATTATTCATATTATTTATTTGTAATAAAAAAGAGGGGATTCACGTGATAATTGAGATCCATAACAAAAGTACAAGAATTCCTTGCCCCATCTTCAATGTGAATGTCGTTTGGAGTTTTGCGATTGGGACAAGCAAATGAGACATTATTTTCCTAACAAACTAAACAAAAAAAAAAGAAAAAAAAAGTAGAAAAAACTATTAACATCAAATCATCATCTCATTTTATTGATAATGTTAGGGTGTTAATTAAGTGCAAATACATGATGCTGCTGTTCTTTCGAGACACAAACATGTCTAGAAGTAGAGTTAAGCTCGACTCTGACCTGGATATAGAGGATTTTTTGACTATTAGAAGAATATCTAGACAGATACATACGTCGTAGTATGTCAAGCAGCAAGCTAGGCATCAATCGATGGAGATGTAATAGAGTTTTAACCTAGTGATAAAAGATTAAAAAAATAATAAAAATAAAGAAAAAGATGTATAGGTTTACAATAAACCAAAACAAGTGGCATTGCAGCAACATTTATAAGTGTGGGAGCTCCTTCCAATATCCACAAATAAAAATTGGACCACTCCCCTCAAAATCAGTTCCCCCTTCATCTCTTCCTCCAACCTTCCCATTGTATTATACATTTTTACGTCTCTCTTATTTATTTATTTTTTACTTGCTAGCTTCTTATTATTATTTTAAAAAAGAAAATTGATTGACATCAATTCGACACTTGGCCTACAGTGGAAAACCTATCTCAATAATTCAGATCACAAAATTAACGAAGATGATTCGTATATTATTCRTACTAAGTTTAAATCTTACTTGGATCTTCTTCTTATACTCATTTTTTGTTGTTGTTAAATTTAATTTCTTATTTCCACTACACAACAATATATTAGAAAAAAGAAGCATAGAGAATATAAAATCAAGCTATGGGACTTGGTATGTGACAGCTGAGCTGACTATCTCTATATCCTCATATCTCCTTGGGATCACCAAAATTACTATATCAAGATCCAACATTCAATACATTCCTCAACAAAATTTTCATCTGCATCTAAAAAAAACCACAATATTTCATTTCTTTAAATTTTTTATATACTTTGATTGGATTTTTATATATTCAGATTATTAATTTTACTCTCATGATTCTAATAAAAGATGAGCATCTGATTAACGGAGAATAGTAGTATCTTAATTAATTAAAATATGTTTAAGTATGTGATCTCAACAGGGGAGAAAATTTAGATAATTATTCTTAAAAATGGATGGAGATGTAGAGAGAATAATAGGAAGGCGAATTGGGAGAAGTTTAGTTTGATTATTTATTACACAAAATACATATTTATAATTTATACACAGATTACAATGCTAAGATCTAGAGAGTAACGAAAGCAAGAACATGATTTTAAATAAAATATTACCCACAAAACCTAATTTTAATCTATTTCTATTTTCAAAAACTCACTCTCTCAATCTAACCTCCACACTGACCGCCGGCAAATCCCCGCTGCCGATCGCCGGAGAATTCTGCAACTACCGCGATCTACGCTTACCGGTTTTCGTCCGGCGACTCTTCTTCGCCGGCTTCCCGAACGCGCTGCAGAATCCACAGGCAGAGA